TTGACCTTGGAGAAAGTCACTAAAATGAGTATTAGATGGTACAGCAACTAATGATCTAATTGCTATTCCTCTGCCTTAGACTGTACAGATGGGAAACAGTGAACTTTGAGCCATTGTGGGAAATTTCCCCATTTCCCTACCATTTTTTACTCAAAAGTGCTGAATATTGACTCTAAAACTAGTGAGCGGTTAAGGCTGATCACTCTGGATCATGCTTACAGAATGAGGAAATTCATTAAGCCCTGCATTGGGCTTAACTCTGTCCCAGTGCAGAGGAGGGATTCCATTCTGAAGTAAGACTGTACAACATCCTCTTCCTGGAAGCTTTGAAATGCACTAATTGAAATGCAGTCATTTTCTCCTGGCTGGGGAACAGTACTTCCCAGGTGCAATAGGCATGGGAATCACCCGACAAAGTTGTTAACGTACAAATTTGAATTCAGTCATTTTCCAGGAGGTCCACAGATCGGCATTTTCTTATAAACTACCTGTTGGTTCCATGCTTTTGGTTAGTGAGGGACCACATTAGGAGTCATGAGCATTTAGATTTAGCAGTTTTTCCTAACTCGTGAGAATGGGGAATACAGGTAGTTATGATGACTTTTGCAAAGACTATAGTTGTAAAGGGAACACTTGGCCATGCATCCCCATGGGACTCTGGATACCAGGGCAGTCCTTCCTTCATGCTCTCCCTTAAGGAGCCTGCTGTTTGAGAGATGCTATAGATTTATTACATTTTCTAAAGCCTCCCATGAGTGAGGATTTTATCAAAGATGCATTACTAATGATTTGTATATCTTATTTTATAATAAAATGTATTTAAAATCTGGAAGCCTAAAAACAACAAAATCTGACTGGGGACTGTTACCTTCCATAAGAGACAGAGCCAATTTCTGCAGTACTCACTCTGCAGGGCAGGCCAGCTCAGACAGAATCTATCCCTGTGCTTCCATACGAAGTCACAGAGGGATTTGCCTATATTGATTTATTTTTTTATATATTAAATTAAATATCATTAGATTAAAACCATTCACAGTCCCCTTACTCAGAGACATTCACTGTTGGCCGCAGCTATTCACAAAGAGTCATCATGCATGGTGTGTGTTATAAATTACTTATTCTTCTCAACTACTCTCGTTACTTCAAGAAAATATTTAAACTTTTACACTACTTCACTAAGTCAGCCAAAGTAGGCTTCTAAACAATTTCTTAAATTTCTAAAAGCAATGCTTTCTACATTGAAGAATGTTGTGCAATTTTCTGTACTAGCTCCTCGGTGTCTGAGTGTCATGTGTGAAGGGATTAAGAAATGTATTTCTCTGATTTAAATGAAGTTTGAGGGCTATGGAGATAGCTGTCAGCAAATAGGCTCAGTATATTCTTTATTATAAGCTTATATCCATCCTCTTGGGTATGTTTTCTATTTTTAAAACTAATTGACTTCATTTAGTATAATGAAAGATCCAGAATTTTGCTAAGTAATTATTTGAAAGAACAAGCATATGTAAATTATTTTTATTAGAACTTACATTGAAATATTCTCTTCTCCCATGCAATAAAAATAAGTATGAAATGAGCTAACCTGTCACAGATATATGCTCCAGATTTTTATTCAGAGTCCACTTAGGTATGTATATGTAGTACTTTTATAATACACGAAATAGCCTGGTACAGCATGAAAATAATAATTTTGTCCAACTTAAAAAAAATTCATTTCCTGTGAAGCATTCCTATTGTTTTCAGTAGAAGAAGGACAATGCCACTAGAGTAAAGTGAACGTGGAAGAGGAGAGCTGGAATCACCAAAAATCCAAGTCAGATTTTGTCACATATTGCTAGAAAATTACTTTAGTAAGTTGGCTGCATTATCATCTAGAGGAGAAAGTCAAATCTCCTTTTCACATGCTTATTTTGCCCTCTTAGCCTTTTGCTTTTTCACTAAAGTTTTTGTTAGCTCAGAAGTGCATAGTTTATAATGAACTATGCCTTAGAAGAATTCTCAAATATTTAAGAGAAATGTAGCAAGTGTTTTCAATTTTGTATTTATGATTTAAAATTATAGCAATTAGATTTTAATGATCTCTCCCCTGAATAGTCCATATACTCCAAAGGCGATCACCCAGTCACATAGAAAATAAACATCCTTTGAAAATTGCATATGCTCATTAATTTCTGTAACTCAAACACACTTTTCTTAAGATTCATCCATGTGTTGCACACTTCCTTGGGTCCTGGGGTGAAAGAAGAAGAAAGAGAAAATTTGTCCTTATAAAGTTTATATTTCAGAAAGTATCTTGGAAAATTACATTAATACACATTCAATTTAATGTAATATGCACTGAGGACCTCTCCATATTTTTCTAGCTCCCACGAATATAAGAAAATAAAATATTTTGGTGACTTAAATGTAATCTCTCGATAACATCCCTCAATTCTGAACTAATTGCTTCCTCATCTTTCTTCCGAGGATACTCACGTGTCCCAGTTTTGTAACAGATCTGTATACACGATGCTTTTGTGTGTGTATCTGTCTTTGCATGGGTGGTCTCCCTGAGGACCACCACCTCCTTTATCTTTTGTGCCACTGAAGAGTACCCTTGCCTGAGTAAACAAATGGTCTTGGAGTTTGAGTAGCATTTGCCCACTGAAAGCTTTCAACAAGAAAAGGAAGGAAGCATGGCCTGTGCCTTGGAGAAGCAAAGTTCTGGAAGAGTCTTATTCTTTCCAGGTTAAGAAATCCATAATGGTTAAAAAGACAACGTGAGGACTCACTTCACAGGCTAAGTAGGGAATGATAGTAATCAACTTCAGAAATGGAAAAAAAAGATAAAAGTTTTCTCAGGTGTTCAGTCGGTAAAACTTGAGGAATTAACAATGTATATTTACTACAGCCACACAGAAGCAGTAGCTAAATAAACTCAAGCATGAAATTTTACTATACCCACAGATAAAAAGGTTAGGTGAAAAGCAATTTGGAATGCCCCGTATAATCCTGAGACTTCATATCTTTGAATGTTGGGTGGAAGAATAGTCCAAGGATCTATGGGGAAAGTTCAGACACGGTATCCTAAAGTACTGCCCTCCAACCTTGAGGCATTGGTCATCACATGATCTATTTGCCTATACTTTGCCTCAAACAGGCAACATCTTCTAGTTTAATTGAACTCACCTGATCTAAACTATGCCTCCTTTTAAAAGATCCCACTTAGAACTGGCATAAGCAACCTCGCATTGCCTGGTTTGTCACAGGTGATCTATTTTTCACATAGTCTGAGTCTCAGGTCAGAAGAGTGGACCAGTGATTGTGTATGGAGGTTAGGGACACAGAACTCTACAGTTTCAATACCAATAAAATTGGAACAGTTCATGTTTACTGAATGCTATTTTGTTAACTGATCATGACCTGGAACTCAGTGAAACTTCATAGCTACTGAAAAACTCATCTTGGGCTGTGAAAACAGCCACCATCATCTCACAACAAAAATAAGAATTTTATATGAGAAACAAATAGAGCAGTCTTGTGATATGCAGCAATAAGAAGATAAAGACACACACACAGAAAAAGAAGACGAGGGCCTTTAATATTCTTGGCAAAAACATTGGACATTTCCTCTGCCTTATCCCATCCCGTTGCTCCCAGAAGGACTCCTCTGGGGAACACATGGAAGCTATTTGTTAATGTTTTCTGAATGAAAATATGTTCAGTCCATAGAATGCCTTAGGGACGAACCTTTCACAGAAATTTACCATTTCCAGATTTAAATAAGAGGGAATTGATTTAAGGGAGTTTTCTGAATTGCCACATTAGTAGCAAACCCATTGCTTTCAACAAAGATTCAGACTTCTACTGAAGAAAGAGAGAAATGAAGTCACCATGCATTGTTTGTTTTTTGATTTTTAATCTATATGATATTTTTACAGTTTTTTTTTACAAAGCAAAGTGAATATTTTCAATCTCCAGATCATGTGTAACAGGAAAATAATCAGGGAAAAAAATCAAGGAAAATCATTATGATTTTTAAGACATTATGGAAACAAACTCTTATCCCTTACATTGCCCGTAGGGTCATAACAAGATAACCTATCTGGAAAAAACTGAGTTCTCAGAGCATGATTCTTTGTTTATCTCAGAAAGCTCTATAATTTACCTCTCTGATGCTGATTTTGACCCATAATGATCACCTTCTTTGTCAAGGTACTTAGGGAGTCCAAACCCTGGTGTCTTTGAGTGGTGATGAAAACATTTGTTTACATTCCTGAATTGTAAAAAGCCTTCTCACCATGTTGTGGCCAGGCATCAGTGACTAACAGGAAAATACCACTACACATTTTCTTTTTCCAAAGAGTAGGTAAGGAGCCCTTGGGACCAGGATTCCAGCCCAACCCAGCTGGAACAAGAAGTTTATTTGAAAATCAGTGATGGTTATAAACCCATTTGAAGTTATCTTGATTTCCTCTATAAATTATAGCCCTTGTAGAACACCTATACAAAATCTCTGACCTTTTACATTGCAGATAAGGTGTTTCTGTTTGCTACTATTAGTTTTAATCCTCTCCATAACAGAGCAAAATGAAATTATCATAAATATACATAAAATACCCAATACACACACATACAAGTTTACACCTTGACTGACTGGTTTTTTTTACAGCATAGGTGATGATAACCTCTCCAGACAAATCTATCTGCAGAAAATATTTCAAAAGAAATGCAAAATGCATATCTGTAAATTGCAGCTACTGGATGTAGACAATCAGTGTAATTCAAGATCCTTATCTGTTCACTCTGGTTCGAAACTGGCTAGCTTGAAGGAGTTTGCTAGTCTTGTCAGTCTTAAATTTCAAGTCACTTCCAAGAAAGGTCTCATTAAAAAGCAAGATATGCTTCAAAGGTCTCATTAAAAAAGCAAGATATGCTTTATAAGCAACAAAATCACTAGATAGGATTCCAGTATTGATATTCGAACAAAATAGATTTTCCACTCTTGTCTCTTCACACAGGCCTTTGATGCCCGAGGAATGCAGAGCCACAGTGCTACCTGCGCAGCCACTCGCTTCGGAGTGCTCCCGGTTCTGTCGGAATGGCTACTGTACTCCCACGGGCAGGTGCTGTTGCAGCCCAGGCTGGGAAGGGGATTTCTGCAGAACCGGTGAGTGTCCCTTGTCCCCAGGAGGGTCTGGGGCAGGAGTGGTCCTCAAGTACTCATGAACTCAACATCCGCCATTTCTGCTAGAATGGTTTACTGCTGAAAAGTGTTTTCAATAATACTAATGCTCTCCTGTTTCTGAATTTCTAAATGAAATCTCTCCCATCTGCTTAAATGCAAGCTACTTACTCCTTAGTGTAAAAGACCTCTCCATGCCTGAGTGTTTTCATAAGGCACAAAAGGGAAATAGCACAGGGAAGGCATCTCTGGTGGGCTCTCAGTCCTGGGCTCTTGAGATTTCATTGCAGTCATTGAGGGAGATTTTGCAAGCCCTTCTCCAGACACCCCATAAATGCCCTTCCTGGTTACTGCTTGCTTTCTTGCTTCGTCATACTAAAAATGGGAGTTTTCAGTGGATGTTATTAAATGCAAGGGGGAAATGCAATTATTTGAGGGCAAATTATGAGATTTTTAAATTATTTGCCACTCCCTTGTGAACCATCAGCTTGGTGTGCAACTGCTCAGACAGAGCAAAGCAGAATTACTCTGGGCTTGTTCTAGCCTGTCACATGAGATTTACTCAATTTTGTGTAGTGATGTTTAAGTTCTATTTGGTATGAAGGAAGAAACCTGGGTAAGTTTAGAGATGGAAGTTTTAAAGTGTTTATGTTGAAAATGCACATTCACCTTACTTCAGAAAGATTTTGATCTCTACCACTTCCAATATTAAAGCAACCTCTGTTGATGAAAACTAAAGTCCCAAGTTAATATTATTTGCAATTCATAATTACTGCTAGTTTTTCTTCTAAAGATGGTTTCTGAAAATTATAACTTGCTTATTTTATATGTGACCTAACAAAATTAATCAGTATCTACAGTTATGTGGATGTGCTATATATTTTCTTTTGTACTCTACATTTGAAATTGCTTAAGCACTAATGTCATTATGCAGTTAAATAATTACATAACTGACTGTCATTGCATACCTAGGACCAGGCTATCAAAATTGAAACACAACAGAAATTAAGCACATTATTGAAATTAAATCCTTGCATTTTATTGACCCATTTTATTTCCTTTCTGTTAACTTAGTGAAAAATGACAACAAATGTTCAAATGTGATAGTATTCAGATCCCTGATAACCTGTCAGCCCTCTGCTTTCTTCCATGAATAGTGATATCAATCATTCTGCTATATTCTATTTTGCATTTTACCTAACCCCTTGTTTGACCTAAGTTGTCAATTAACAAATATTTGATGAGTAACTTCTAGTGGCAGCCATGTTTCAGCTGAGGATGGGCAAATTTTGTATGCAGTAGGCTAGAAATATATGCAACATAAGTGAAAGTGTACACTTTGAATTAATGTAAAGATTTACTCATGCAAATGTTTTCACTTCCCCTCAAATTTAAATAGTTTTAATATATAAAATAAGTCCAAATCATTTTATATGGAAGTAATCTATTTGGGATATCTGAAACCTAAGAATGTCATTGATATATCCACGTAGCCGACTCAGCTTCCACAACCTTGAAAGAGAATTTGTCTTCTTCCTATACATTCTTTTGCACTTCAGCCACAGCACCCTGGGTTTGGACTCAGGTATTTGGAGAGGTGAAAATGACCCTGTGCTGTCAATGTAAAAGAAAAGGGATTCAAGGGATTTGATTCTGTCCACAGTGACAGCACTTCCCAGATCCACCATAAATAGCAATTAATTCATATACTCAATTTCATGTCTGCCTTTCATTTTAGCAGTAAGTTTTTGTAATCCCCATTCGTCGTGTAGTGGTAAAAATTATTTCATGTAATTGTCTCATTTAATCGGGAAGAGGATTTCCTAGAACATCCTTCCCTGGCTAATTTTACCAAACCCAGGAATGGCCTGAGACTCTAATCAGAGGGAAGCATTGGAACGAAGGGAAGGAGAAATCCAAGGGTGTCCCTCTGGTGGATTTTCCATCCAACTCACACCAAGAAGTGACTATTCCTTTATGCTGCATTGGAAATGCGAGGGCCAGTGCAGGTCGCTCTTAAGCTGGGGCCCAGCTCCCCCAAGTTCTAACTTGGAAGAAGAGGATAGCAGGTCCTGGAAAGCCCTCTGGAAGTACCCCCGTGGAACAGAGATTTGAAAGGATTGTTTTTCTAGAAACATCTCCTCTAGTTTATTAAGTTCCATCCCCCAAAGAATTTGAATCTAAGAGCCTTCTTTCCTGTTTGTGGATGTATTGTTCCCATCTTCCTCCTTCTTTCCCTCCATTTCCTCTGTATTTTTCTTCTCATGGATGCTTGATTCTGACATAGAGAATGACAGTGCAATGTTTTTGCTGTTTTTCTTCTCCCAGCAAAATGCGAGCCACCGTGTCGTCATGGAGGCGTCTGTGTTAGACCCAACAAGTGCCTCTGTAAAAAAGGCTATCTTGGTCCTCAGTGTGAGCAAGTGGACAGAAACATCCGCAGAGTGACCAGGGCAGGTATTCTTGATCAGATCATTGACATGACATCTTATTTGCTGGATCTAACAAGTTACATTGTATAGTTTCTGGGACTGTGTGAATACTCCTTTCCACTGGGCATTTATTTTTATCCTGTCATTAAAAAGAAAGACTGTTATCCTGCTACACACTCCTGTGATTTCATTTTCTTTTATTTAAAAAAAATTTTCCAGAAATGTACATATCCTCTGTGTGCATGTTGGCACATTTGCCCACATTTGCACAGACACACACACACTCACAATCCCCATTCACATGGTTGCATAACAGATGGATTTTTAAAAAAACGCATACTTCCTTGTTTGGAGTAATTTACACAGAAATTCCATTGTAAATTGATAACAGAATTTTTATGTCACCAGAAGAGACTATTTGACTTCATAGGAATTTTCTGTCTGTAATAACTAAAGTCAACTTTAATAGAGTTTTGAAACATTACTGTGCAATCTGATGGATCTAATAAAAAGGCAATATTTTTATATTAAAGGACTTTAATATGAGAGAATTTTTCAGAACTCCCTGATGAATATCTAAATGGGCAACTTGATATAAAATTATAATCTTCATTTTTACCAATGTATTCAATTACACCATGTTATGCACTTACCTTTTTTATTGGCAGAGAAATCTGGTTTCTCCAGCTTGATCTCAAGATTGTTTTCAAATGTTTTATAATTAAATCCTAACAGCATATTTTAAAATCAATCTTCCTAAAAGGTCTGCTCTTACTGTATACTGTATTTATCATTAGGCACTGGGTTTGTGTTACATATTTATATTTTTTATTTTATTTTTATAATGTAGACATCACCTAGATGAAACACCTTTACCCTGTCCTGTAACATACTAAAGTTACATTTTTTTCACCGTCTAACTTGGAAAGAAGGGGAGTGAGAAAGCAAATAGTCTTTAACGTTATGTAGATCTAACCTAACAATGCATCCTTTCACCATATATAATCATTAATGATGAATGAAAAGGCGAAACAGCTAATCTTTATAAAGTGCCAGCAGTAAATATTTGTAAAGTACTTTACCATAGCAAGACTGTCAGAGTATATGTGATTAGCATGCTGTCTGTTTCACACACTGAGTCAAACCTCACTGGAGAAGAGTTCACTGGTTTTGAACCAGGTCTTGGCGATATAAGCTGCCACTTGTACTAATGTTTAACGTAATAATTCTTGCCAAATATCACTTCCAAGGTACGGGTTCCTTCAGAACTCAATGAAAATACTCCCTGGTTAATGCATCAATACATTTTCTGTGACTTCTCTGTTCAGGCATTTAATGAAGTGACATATTCTAGCTAACACTGGAAAAAAAAAAGTCTGGTAGATTTTTTTTTCTTAATAGTTTTCTAGTCCAGCCCTCCATATTTGGATTTTAACAAAAGTGTAAGGCCTCTTTGCACTACTGAGGAAACACATCTACTCTTGACAAGTGCACACCCATTGCAGTTGTCCCCTTCTGTAAACATCCATCCCTCTAGGATCTAAATTGTAGAGTAGTATGGGTTATGCAGCACCAGCTGACTTTCCAAATCTGCTCCTTACCTTTAGGCATATGAGCCTCAATTAAACAACAATCTGGTAGCTAGTATTTCTCTATGAGAGATTTGTGATTAAAGCACAGTGAGCATTTATATAGAAACCACAATGTAGAAAGAGTGGTTAAGTGCACTGCTCTTGTCTTCCATATATGATTACTTAAGTTTCAAGTGACCTCATGCCAAATGGAAATGGGTTGAGAAATCTTGGTTCAGTGCTTAGTGAACAATAGCCTGCATTAAAAAGTGCATGCATAATTTTGCACGATTTAGATTCAATTGACAGTCTATTCAAAGAAGTCTCAGGATTAAATGAGCATGGAGACCAATTTGCCCTCTTACCCCAGAAAAGGGGTGGTCCTTTCTAGTCACACTAACACTTCATTGGCCCAACAGTGTGACAAATCTTGCAATGAACCATGCAGTAGCCTGCATCTAGGTTAATAGCAATCTTTTGTCTCCGGTGCTTTCTCTTTGTAGCCCTTTTACTGAATTCCATCACAGAAAGTTTTACAATTAAAAAAAAATGTCCTGACAACCATTTTTGTAAATGAACCTTAGCATCTAATCGTCCCTTATTCAACGTGGGTGACATTAACAAAATGTGAACTTCTTGTGAGGGAGCCAGCTATCCAAATCTGTCAAACTGTGCAGTTTTATTACACATTCCCTCATTCATAGTTTGGCTGAAAATAATACAGATACTGATGTATATTCAGCAAAATCTGAAAAATCAAGTGTTTCTTCTTACGTCTCTAATCCTTCCATCTTTTCCCCTGAGGTAAAAGTATCTTGTTTCCAGTAGTTCTACTATTTAAAAATATATACACATATACTGAATAGACCAGATTGTTTTATACAGCCTTTTCCCAAATGAAAGAGTTTCAAGCTGAGTTAGGAAACCGCACATACCCCAGGTGTCATTGCCTCACCGAGTGTGAGTCATTAGAACAAAAGATCAAATTCCTTGAAAAAAGAAGATAGCATAATACATGGACATTAAACTCAAGCAACAAGAGTCATGGAGTCATCTCTTTCTGTCCTTGGGAGAAGAGTAGGTTGTGATGGCTAATTGATGGCTATGTATTTTTAACAAAGTGGTCAATTCAAAAAAATCTCTTTGATCTTTCTTTCAAGTTGATGTTTTTAAAAAAAATGTGTGACTGGGAAATTATCTGCAGTGACTCATGATGAGAGCCAGGTAAGAACTGATTAGAAAGTAAGAGCTAGGAAAGTTGGTTTGATCACATGAAAGGCAACATCTACGCCATTCGTAAAGCACCCAAGGAAAACATCTCTGATACAAAGGCTGATGTGTAGGAGATGGAAAAAATTTTAAAAAATTTAAAAAGTATATATCGTTATATTATCCTCCCCAACCATTCTAGAGTTTAGGCCTTGGGTGTCAGTTAAACGTGAAATGATGCCAGCGTACTTAAATGATTGGAAGCCATCTTTCAACCATCAGTTTCAGCCAGATTCTCATGTTCATCCACAGAACTTGTTTTCTTGACAGTTACTTATAGCATTGACAATAAAGCTGAGTTGGCAGATCACTGATGTTAAAAGGAGTAAAGATTTATATTTTAGCTTAGCTTTGTAAAATATGTCCTTTAGTTTATCACCAAAAAGTCCTGAGATGTTTTCTCACACTGATGGGCTAACTTATGAGGAAAGAACAAAGAATCAAAACACAGACAACACAGACACAATCCAAACAGAAAACTTTGGCTTGCCATTCCTCAGAGCAATCCCTTCTTTACAAATAATCACATTGAATTCACCTAATGTTTGAAGTGCTTTTTTGATAGTTCTTAGCTCTTATTCATGAACTGTACAATGACCCCACCAGATATAAGTTAGGAAGCTAGATACTACTTGTAAGAACTTTGATACACATAATTGAAACTTAGTCTAATCCTTTCTGCAGTCTCTTAGCTTTGAAAATAAGACAAGCAGAGCCCAGACTTTTCAGAGGAAAAATAAGACATAGCAGCATAGGCAGTTGTAGTTATCTGATTAGCAAATTAACTTCTGAGCATAGAAAGTTGGAATGTTACCTGTAATAACTAAGGTTTCTCCCCACTCCAATGCATACACTGTTTGTTACCTGTCATCTCTGAACTTTTGCTACTCTACTTTTTCACTTTGGCCTTTTTCCTTTTTGCACTCCTCCATTAAAAAAAAATTTATTAGATAAACATGTCCTCAGTATACTCAAAATGAAAGCAGTCTGGAATAGAATTCTAATGATTTTACTTTATTGGTTTCTATTGATTTTTCCTGGTGCAACTTTTGCTCACATTTGATACCAACAATAAATAAACATTAAATAATACAATCTCCAAAAGTGACTTCCCAACCAGATACTCCTATTCAGCTCTTCTATTACAGCTACAGGAAAGGTGGGGGAAATGGCTCCACTGAAGAGTTTTACAATCAAAACTATTAGTAGCTATTCCCTATCCAAGCAAGTCATCTCTATGGGGTCTATTTTATAGAAGATTACTGCATATCCAAGTGTAACTTCTTAGTCTTCTTTCCCTTTCTTTTGGGATGAAATTTGAATTCACAAGAATTCCAAGTAAACTCATATGCCCAGGAAATGTACCTATCTATTATTTTTCCTGGGAAGTTGGTGGAGCTATTACTGGGATTGCTGAGAATATCATCAGACAGGTTATTTTTGGAAATTTTGAAGAGAAAAGACATTTTATATCTTAAGTTCAGTTCTCTGTATTACCCTATCTTGGTCACAATTCCAGTAGTTCATATAATACTAAAAAAAGTTTGAAAAAAAGCATTTTGATATTAAAAATGTGACCATGAAGCCTACCAAACAGTAATCCTAGCTAACTTCAACCTTCTTCCTCTTAACTATCTCTTTGGAATACATTTGGAAAACTTCTTTAAGGGAAAGTAAAATGTGTTTGTGTGAGTATGATCAAGTATTATTGAGCTGTTTTCTTAGTTAATAGTGATGGTTGCCCAGGCTGCAATGAAGTTTGTGCATTTATGATTAGTACTCTTTTTAAATTCCTCATGAATTATGAACCCAAGACGTGTCCATCGTATCTAACTTGCTCTCTCATAGCTTTTATACTGGTTATAGAGGTGTTTTTTTGAAAAAAAATAAAACATTGCAACATAAAACCTTACACCTAAAATGTTACATTATTAAAGCCAATGACTTTAAAAATAGTACCCACTCCACATTGATTATAAAGTTACCTCTCTTATGCATATCCCAAAGTTAGAGACCATTTTTCATTCACTGATTTTTGCTTTTGTTTTAATGTGTAAATTACGTATACTTACATCCTAAGTAGATGTTTACACAAATGCAAGTTGACATGAGTTAACTTGGAAATCATTTTTGAAGTAAAAAGTAAACCATCTTTTAGGACATAAGATAGGAAAAACTCAACATTAACAGTGGTAAAAAAAAAAATTCCTGGTAACTGAATATACAGTATGTTTTATACTTCTGGGTAGTCAATAATTCCTGTTCAATAATTCCCTTTGCACTAAAACACTACTCTGTGGCTCCCATTCATA